AGGAGCAGGATGTTCCAAACCTGGTTGATAATGTGAGGTGAAGGTAAGTCACAGGGCCCAGAAGAGTCACATAAAATTCTCAAAGGAACTCAAGAGGGGAAACAAGGCACTGTTGGGCAAAATGCTTAGCCTATCAACGAAAGCAACTGCCAGGCCAAAGGACCCCTGGGAGTCAGTGTGAGCCTCTTTCAAGGGGCTAGATATAAGACTAGCATGAATTTGTATTAAAAAACTACAGAGCATGCCTTGAAATTATAACGTGGTAAATTAAGAATAAGGGAGAAAAAAGCGTGTAACAGCACATCTAAAATTTAAAGAATTCCTTGCTCCTCAAAAGGTTGGACTAACAATGTAAATAAAATTCCCCCAAAGTTTAGATCAATTCAGAGATTATTTGGTCAAAATGAGAGCTAGAATTTCAGTGGCAATGACTGAGGGTCAATAGGGTTCAGGTCAATAAGTCTTTGAGAATGACTTTGTAACCCCTATATTTCTTGGTACCTTTCGGCTGGTTATCTACTGAAATTCCCATCTGCCAGGGGTCCTCGTCTCCCTTGTTGGTTTTTATCACGCAGACTTCAGCGTTAGCCTTTTGGTCTTATTTATAAGCCCTGGTGGTGCTTTGGGCTGCTAACTACAAGATCAGCAGTTTGAAACCACCAGCCTACTCGTGTAAAGAGTTACAGTCTCAAAAACCCACAGGAGAGGGACACTATGAATCTAAATCAACTCGATAGCAATGAGATAATAAAAGCAGAGTGGAAAGTCACTGTGCTTCTGCATGTACGTAATCTCTGTTAGAGTTTGTTCCTTTTTCGTTCCTTTAAGCACTGGTAGAATGAAACAAATTGTGCAGAACTAAGAAACAAATGCTACATCTTCCCCTTTGGTTTCCACAAATGCTAAGTATTCTGAAAGGACCCAGTACTGCCAGACCCACATCCCTCCCCCTAGCCCAGCGGTTCTCAACCTTCCTAATGCCGCAACCCTTTCATACAGGCCCTCATGTTGTGGTGACCCCCAACCATAAAAGTATTTTTATTGCTACTTCATAACTAATTTTGCTACTGTTATGAATCGGGCAACCCCTGTGACCCCAAAGGGGGTCAACCCACAGGTTGAGAACCACTGTTGTAGCCTAATAAGCTAGTCTGTCCTCATGGAAGTGTTAATGGATGCTCCATAGGAAGTTAGGAAAATCTGGGTGAGGGAAGCAATTTTTAAAAACCGTAATCATTTATAGGCTTTGATTCCCATCTGCAACGGCCTCTCCCCTGCTTCTTGTCACAGTAAACGTAAAGGAGGGCTTGTGGTTCCTGGAATGGGCGTTGATATGTAAAATATGGCAAGGAGAGCACCATAATGGCCGAAAGGAGAGCAGGGGCTTAGATTTGGAGAACAATATAGAATAGGGATTACATGATTAAAGCTGTCCTAAATATGCATATATACATAGGTACCATCGAGTCGGTTCAACCCAATGTACAACAGAATTCTATGTACAACAGAATGAAGCAGCTTACGGTCCTGCACCATCCTCACAATTGTTCCCACGCCCACACCCATTGTTGCAGCCACTGTGTCTTAACCTGTATCCTTAAGGGCATTCCTCCTTTCCCTTTTCACTGCCCCTTCATTTCACCAAGCATAATGTCCTTCTTTAGAGAACGGTTTCTCCTGACATGCTGTTTCAAGTATGCCAGACGAAATCTTGTCATATTTTCCTCTAAGGAGCACTCTGACCCTTCTTCTGCAAAGACAGATTGATTCATCCTTTTAGCAGTCCATGGTACTTTCAATATTCTTCTCCAGAATCATAGTTCAAAGGCATCAATTCTTCATTCTTCTTTACTCAATGTCCAACTTTCACATGAACAACAAGGCAACTGAAAATACCATGGCTTGGGTCAGGTGCACCTGAGTCCTCAAAGTAACATCCTTGCCCTTCAATACGCTAAAGAGGTCTTGTGCAGCAGATTTACCTAATATAATACATAATTTGATCTCTTGACCACTGCTTGCATGAGCATTGATGGTTGGTCCAAGTTAGACAACATCTTTGACAACTTCAATTTTTTCTTCATTTATCATGATGTTACCCATTTGTCCGGTTATGAAGATGTTATGCTATTTGAGTTGTAGTCCATGCTGAAGGCTGTAATCCTTGACCTTCATCAGCAAGTGTTTGAGGTCCTCCTCACTTTCAGCAAGCAAGGTTCTGTCATCTGCATGTGGCAGGTGGTTAATAAGCCTTCCTCCAATCCTGATGCCACAGTCTTCCTATAATCCAGCTTCCCTGAGTGTTTTCTCAGCGTACAATATGATGAAGAAGTATGGTGAGAGGATACAACCCTGATGCTCACCTTTTCTGACTTGAAACTATGCAGTATTCCCTTGTTCCATTCACACAACTGCCTCTTGATCCATGTGCAAGTTTCGCATGAGCACAATCAAGTGTTCTGGAACTCCTGTTTCTCAAGGTGATCCATAGTTTATTGAGGTCCACACAAATGCCTTGGAATAGTCAATGCACACAAGTAAACACCTTTCTGGTATTCTCTGCTTTGAGTCAAGATTCATCTGGCTTCAGAAGTGTTATCCCTCTGAATAAAGTTCCATGTCCCCATTTCAATGTGGCCTGAACCTCTGGCAGTTCCCTGCCAATATACTACTGTAACAATTGTTGGATGATCTTCAGCAAAATTTTGCTTGCGTCTGATATCAATGATATAATTATATAGTTTGAGTGTTTTGTTGAGTCACCTTTATTGGAATGGGAACAAATATAGATCTTTTCCAGTCAGTTGGCCACATAGCTGACTTTCAAATTTGCTGGCACAGACGAGTGAGTACTTCCAGTGCTTTATCAGCTTGTTGAAACATGCCAATTGGTATTCCATCAATTCCTGGAGTATTGTTTTTGGCTAATGCTTTTAGTGCAGCTTGAACTTCCTCAGTACCATAGGTTCTTCCTCATATGCTACCTCCTGAAATGGTAGAATGTCAACTAATTCTTTTTGGTACAGTGGAATGTGCATTCTTCTCTCTGGTGATGCTGTTATGTAAGTGCTGGACTTCTAACCACAAGGTCAGTGATTCAAACATAGTAGCTCTTCCTCCAGTGAAAGATAAGGCGATCTGCTCCTGTGAATATGTAGAGCCTCTTGGGAAACCTATATAAGGTCATTATACATTGGAATAAACTTGATGGCAGTGGGAGATGACAGATAGATGATAGATAGATAGATAGATAGATAGATAGATAGATAGATAGATAGATAGATAGATAGATAGATAGATAGATAGATA